CACGAGCCGAGAGCAAGAGAGTGAGACAGAAAGAGAGAAAGAGATTAAACAACGGAGTGTGAAGGGAAAGGGAGCTCTGTATTCCCTTGATATGCAGGACGACAGTGTCCACACAGGCACAATGAAGCACTCAGTGTTCCTGTGTTTTCCTGGTGCTGTTTGATTAAAGACGGCTGTCGTGTTGAAACACGTTGGGACTGCGGTGACTGGACCGAGTTTTTCACTGTACTCTCAGTGCGTCTGTTGTGCTTGCGAGGACATTTATACAGCCAAAGGAGGCATTCTTGCTTTTGCTAAGAGAAAGATCTATGTGGTGTAATTAACAGATTGTTTTCTAGCTGCAGCTTTTTTTTGTTTGTTTTTTTATGCTGCTGCGTTTTCCGATTCACATTTTCAGAGAACCGATGGCAACGAAAGAGAGAGCAGGAATTAATGTACAGAAGAGACGCACTCATATATGTCTGTGTTGTGTCACTGAGCGGTTCAGGTATGTGTAGATCATGCTCAAGGTCGTCCAGTGACAGTGTTACTGTCGGACTGATAGAGCACAGTGCAGGAGAGTGGGGAACCACTTGGAAGCAATATCAGGATGAGCGAACCAATTTGCATATAATAAGTCATGTAAATAGCTTATATTATTGCAGTCATATTTCACCTTATTATTAAGTGTAGACCATGGCTGGATTTCTATTTATTTATTTATTTTTATTTTTTTGGGAGGGGGAGCTGTACCATCCTCTGGAATGTCTGTTCAGTCCTACATGTACTGCAGCTATTCTCACAGTTCAGACAGAAACAGGGCCTGTTTTGAATTGTGTGCGATACTTTGTGAAACTTGTAAGTAGACGATGTAAACCACATTTGCAACCTCCTGAGCAGGCTGCTTTACAAACTACCAAAGAATGTTGAGCAGTAATCGTCCTAGTCAGGCAGCTATGGTGTAAGTTGGAGTGTGTTTATACATTGTCTCTCTGTTATTACAGTACAGGATTAACACCACATAATATTTACATGTGTATTTTATATTCATTGAAATAATGGCAAAACTGTTACAGGATTTGTTTTTGTTTGAAAAGGTCTGTTAAAGAGAACGTTCTAGAGATCCCAATCCCACATTAGAGCCTCCTGTTACTGCCATAACAACCTGCATGTGTGTGTAAGTGTGTCATTACTGGTCATCAGAAGGAATTCCCTTTCTCATTATGAATTCACAGAGTCAGGGGGGATGGGTGCCAAAAACCCTCCAGGCAGATTTAGACAACGAACTCTCTTCTCTCTGTCTTCCTCTCTCTCTCTCTCTCTCTCTCTCTCTCTCTTTTGGCTGCTGCAAGTGACAGTCGAATGCAGTGGGGAGCACCTTTCTCTTGTGTCTCTCCGTTGCTCTCTGCGCTCCGTTGTGCAGTGAAGAGGTGTTGCATGTGCTAAAGGTCTTTTGCTACGGGCTGTTAGACAAGAACTGAAACGTCATGCTCTACTCCCATGCTCTTGTTCTCTCTAGATCTTTGTTATGCTCACAGTCATATGAAGACTGGAGCATCTCCACAAGCCCAGACGCAGAAGTCTGAAAAGCTGTAATGTAACAGCACTGGTGACACATCTCTCATCTACATTACATCCATATGTTTCGCTATCCATAATGAGTTGTGACATCACAGCCATAAATATTTTATATAAAAGGTATTGCTCATAAAAGCCATGCACGTGACTGGTCCATGCATGTTTATTACTGAAGGCCACATGTAGCACTTTGCTTCTGCTGCTCATATTCTGTAGGACAATGTCCATGTGTAAGAAAGGAGATTAACTTTTTGTTGAGACAGAGCTTAATGCCTAATGGCCAGAAAAAAAAACAGCTCTGCAGAGACCACTTATTTGATTTGTTTTAAGCTGTTGTGTAATCTGCCTATTTTATGTTGCAATACAATACTTATATGCAGTAATCTGTATAGTCATTAGACCAAGACTGTACTGAACAGTTTCGCACTGCCTGGAGCATAACCTTCCATAGGGTGTTCATTTATATTACCAAAAGTACTTACTTAAACACGTTGTATTGCTTTGAATTGAAATGTAGATTCAGGTCAGATTCGAGTAATTAATTAGATGACAGAATTGGAAAAAAAAGATATTTTAATTATATAAAATGAAATTTAAAAATGGTACTAATTTTAGTGAGGAATGCATTCTCACTTGTTTATACACTGTAAGGCCAAAAGTTTGTGGACACCTGACCATCACACTCATACACTCATGAAACACTATACTAATACTGGATAGGGCCTCCGTTTGCTCTCAAAACAGCTTCAATTCTTTGTAGCATTAATTCCACAAGACAATTCCAAACATTCCTTTGAGATTCTGGTCCATGTTGACATGATTGTAACCCGCAATTCCTGCAGATTCCTGAAAGATTCACTTTCATGCTGTGAATGAAATGCGAATGTTCTACCTCATCCCAAAGGTGTTCTATTGGATTCAGATTCGGTGACTGGGAAGGCCACTGAAGAACACTGAATTCATTTTCATGCTCATGAAACCAGTTTGAGATGACTTTTGCTTTGTGACATGGTGCATTATTATGCTGGAAGTAGATGTTAGAAGATGGGTAAACTGTGGTCATGAAGGGATGCACATGGTCAGCAACAGTACTCTGACCTGCTGTGGCATTCAAGCGATGATTGATTGGTATTAACGGGCCAAAGTGTGCCAAGAAAACATTTGCCTCACCATTACATCACCTCCACCAGCCTGGACTGCTGACACAAGGTAGGTTGGGTCCATGGGTTCATGCTCTTGGTGCCAAATTCTGATCCTACCATCTGTTTGCCTCAGCAGAAATCGAGATTCATCAGACCAGGCAACGTGTTTCCAGTTTTCAAGTGTTTTGGTGAGCCTGTAACCAATGCAGCCTCAGCTTTCTGTTCTTGGCTGACAGAAGTGGAGCCCAATGTGGTGTTCTCCCTCAAGGTTTGACGTGTTGTGCATTCTGAGATGCTCACCACAACTGTACAGAGTGGTTATTACTGTAGCCTTTCTCTCAGCTAGAACCAGTCTGGCCATTCTCTATTGAGCTCTCTCATCAACAAGGCGTTTCCGTCCACAGACCTGCCACTCACTGGATGTTTTTTCTTTACTGCACCAGTCTGTGTAAACTCTAGAGACTGTTGTACATGAAAATTCCAGGTGATCAGCAATTATAGAAATATCAACAATCAGTGATTAAAATCACTGAGATCACATTTTCCCTCCATTCAGATGGTTGGTGTCAACATTACCTGAAGCTGCTGGCCAGTATCTGCATGATTTTTGAACATCCTATTCCCCCTCTACTGTTATAATAACCTCCACTCCTCTAGGAAGGCTTTCCACTAGATATTTCACCATGGCTGTGGAGATTTCTGCCCATTCAGCTGCAACAGCATTAGTTAGGCCAGGCACTGATGTTGGGTGAGGAGGTCTGGGGCTCAGTCAGTATTCTAGTTTATCCTAAAGGTGTTTATTGGGGTTGAGGTCAGGGCTCTGTGCAGGACACTCGAGTTCTTCACTCCAGTTTTGGCAGACCATGTCTTTGTGGACCTCACTTTATGCACAGGGACATTGTCATGCTGGCACAGGTTTAGGCCCCTTAGTTACAGTGAAAGAAAATTGTAATGCTAAAGTGTACAAAGACATCCTATAGAACTGTTTTTCCAACTTTGTGGCAACAGTTTGGTGTGTGGTAAAGAATATGGGTGTGATGGTCAGGTGTCCACAAACTTTTGGCCATATAGTGTAAGTTGATGTAGGACTTCTTTTAGGACTTTACTTGGGACTTCTTCCTACCTCTGGCTATGAAGAATTCATGTAAGCCTGGGCTCTCATTTGATGCAACAGAAAAGCATTCTGATGCAGCATGAGCAGCAGTTTAAAAAGATGCACTTGGCTGGCTTCACCTGTCTCAGAGGAAGCACGTGATAGCCTTCACCCTCCCTGGTTGGTAGCTGTCGTGTGATAGGCGAGAGCTGGCTGGGGGAAGGGAATTGGCAGGTGACCAAATTGGGGAGAAAATGGAGGGAAAAAATGGTGCAACCTTAAGAGGTAAGTCTTAAGGTGTAGGGCTGGATATTTTTTGGGTTCCAAGTTTGGTCCCCGGCTCTAGTCAGGGCTAGAAATAAACATGTTCCACTATTGAGAAGCAGTGAGAATTTGACTTGTGTTTAGATCTTAAAAAAATGTCAGTCCAGGTGTCCTAAAGTCAAGGAGTCATAGATATGATAATGTTAAAGCAAGAGCCCTAGTTTAAAGGAATATAGCAGTATTTTGTTTAAAAGCAAGGTTTTAAAATATAATTTATAGTATGTTGTTTATCAGTGCTTTTAAGTTAAAAATTATAAAATTACCAGTGCAGCAATTGTCTCCCACAGGATTCCCACTGGGCATATTATGAGACAGCAAAATTGCTTTGTGAATCTCTAAAGCAGCACTAAAATATTCTCCAAACTCTTGTGCAGAACATTAGAGATGTAATTTTATAAGTCATATTGGAATGATGTGAGTTCTTGCTTTTGACTGCAGTGTAGCATGTCACAAGAAAAGTTAGGTAAAATGTTAGGAAGCAAACGGGACAGATAAGGTGTTGTGCCATCTGAACTTGACAAAATAAGATAAAATATCATGCAAGATTTCATCCTCCCTTTCAAAAATGAATGAGGCTGATTTTTTATTTTTTTTTCAAATAAATACCACACTATGTGCCACATTACAACAACTGGCAATGACTGGAAAAATCTTTTCATCCATTACAATATGGAGAAACACAAAAGATGAGCATGACTAAATGCTGTACTTCTTTCGGCTGCTCCCGTTAGGGGTCGCCACAGCAGATCATTGTTCCGCATATTTGATTTGGCACAGTTTTTACACTGGATGCCCTTCCTGATGCAACCATCCCCCGTTTTATCTGGGCTTGCGACCAGCACTTGGAGTGCACAGTCGTGTGAAATCCCAGTGGCTGGGGTTGGTTCCCTGGCCGGGAATCGAACCCCGGGCCTCGGCAGTGAGAGCGCCGTGGCCTAACCACTAATCCTTCAGGGACCCTGAGCATGACTAAATAACCATTTATATATGTTTATATACATTATTCCAGTGCTTGATTAATTAAAGGTAGTTAAGGAACCTGATCCTGTACCTGAGCGATTTTTTTTAATGAGAATCAGACATAAGAGTTCTGAGCATATTCTCAGATTTTTCAGTGTTTCCCAGAAATGTATTATGTATATCATTTGTAAATCACTTCATATGTGCCGCACACCTTTAAATCCAGACTTCCTGAACAGCCCTACAGTATGTCAGTTCAGGTATAAGCTCACTTACAGAAAATGGTTCCCTCTGGTATCCTAAATGGCTTTTTGGTTTGTTTAGCCTTAAAGAATCTATGTCGAACACTGCAGTAGAGGGTTTCTCTGTCAGAAAAGGTTCCAGGTAGAAGAGCTTTGGAAAGCTAGAACACTTAACCATCCACTTCAATCTTGAGGAACCATGTATGGCCAAAATAATAGCTAGCAAGTCAAATAGTTACAGTTAGCACTAGAATTATTGGCACCCTTGGTAAAGATTGGTAAAAAGGTTAAGAAAACCTTAAGAAAAACTTTGTGGTTAACATTCCTTCATTCATCAACATGGGGAAGCTTATATAATACATACCTGAAAGTGTGTTGACCTTCATAAATAAGACAATGGCTATATAAAAAAAAAATAGCTACGTGCCTGAAATGCCCATATTCACTGTTAATAAAGTTTAGAACACAAGAGCCATAATGAACCTGCCTGGAAGAGGAAGTGTTTTTTGCCCCCATGCGCACAGAAGAGGGTAGTTAATGAGGCAGAAATCGCTGCAAGGGTCACAGTTGGAGATTTCAGAAGATGGTAACATTTTGGCTTCATCAAATCTCCAAATCTACGCCACCTCTGTGCCAAGAAACTATTTGAATGGTGTGCCAGAAGAAAGACTTTTCTTTCATTTAAAGAAAATTTAACACAAATTTAAGTTCACTAGATGCTAATGGAACTTTGACTGGAACCATGTTCTATGTTCAGATGAGACAAAAAGAGCTTTTAGGCAACAAACACTCAAGGTGTAAAAAAAAAAGGATGTTTTTACATCAAAGAACCTAATCCATACTAAGTATGGTGTAGGATCTCTGATGCTGTGGACCTATGAAGGTGCTGCAAACCTTGTTACCATAAACCATGGCATTATGGGCTCCATGAAGTACCAGAAGTTTTTTAAATCAAAATCTGGCTGCCTCTGCCACGAAGTAACAATTGAGTCATAATGGATGTTCCATCAGGACATTGATCTAAAGCATGCATCCAGATCCATATAAAAATGGTTCAGTAACCACAGAATCAAGCTTTTGGCATGGCCCTCCCATTCCCCTGACCTAAACAACAATGTAAACCTATGGGGTGAGCTGAAGAGGGGAGTCCACAAGAGATGACCACAAGAGTACACTCAGGTCTGCAGACGAGGGCAGATAGCACTTTCCTCCGAGTGTGTTATGCTGCCCTGTGACGCAGCAGCAGCAGCAGTTGTGGATGTTGGCTTCAGAAGAAGCATATGTTTGTCACACCCTTTCCAGTTAGTAGATGTGGTTGGGGGGTGGGAAGGCGTTATGGGGTGGGGGTGGGGTTAAGCTAGTGGGTCGGAATTAGCAAGGCCAAATTGGGGAGAAAATGGGAATTAAAAAAAAAAAACAGACAAAATAAAACTCAGAATATTTAAAACAAAATTCATTCATTCATTCATTCATCTTTTCATCTTAGCAACCACTTTTATCCTGGTCAGGGTTATGGAGGATGACCAAGCTTAAATCCAAGAAAACAAAAAGATTCTTATGGACCATGGGGTTTTTCTCTACATGTGTAATACACTTTATGGGTTTTTTTGTGGTGTGAAATCCATACTCTGTTTTTTGTTCATACGGCAGGCTAGTTCATAATGCGGTTCTAATGGTGATTTATACAATAACAGTACTGCAGCAGTATTTGTGCGCACTGTGTAGTCTAGCATGCCTTTATTCTCAGAGCATCTGTGATGTTTTAGCTGCATAGGACCTGCACAACATCTCTAATGAGGTATAGAGAGAGAGAGAGAGAGATGATAATCTTAGACTGAAAACTGTTAAGTGCAAAAATGCATGTACATAACTCCAGCTGCGCATTCCGCCCTTAGTCCTGTCATTCTCTCATTCTCTTTGTCTTTGCCTCTCTTGTTTCTCTTTCGTGGTTGTTAAGCCTGGAGCTGTAAATTTTCCTTATTATTGTCAGAGACAGAGAGAATGTGTACAGTACTGCGCACGCCTGGCCCTCCTGTGTTCATCTCGTATGTTCAGTACTGTCAGAGATGCAGAGAGAGATTATGAGGCAGAGACATTTTGCATTTGGTGCTTCTCATTTCAGCTCGGCCTGCAGCAGGAAACAGAGCATCAAACGATATGCAAATGGACTTGTGGTTTAGAAGCAGGCAAACCACATTTATGACTGTTGCTCAATAATGGGGTGACTGGTTTTAAACCAAGTTCATGTAAGTTTTTCTCTCATTACCCCCTTTTCTGTTTCTTTTATTTTTGCATTGAAATGATTGTTTGTGTGTAATCAAAAGATTGAGCTTTTTGAAGCCCACAAGCATCAGCTTCATTCTCACGTTTATCTGAAGAACAAATGAAAATGTTAAACACCCAATCATGCAAAAATCACGCTTATCAGTATGCAACACACATGCAAAGACATATGAGCACATGGGTTTAGCATCTAATCATAAACACACGCACACACACACACACACAATGATCTGCTTTGCGAGTTCTCACTTCCTGTTTGTGAAAGACCTTGTCCTGTGTGAATAATGCAGCACAAAAGGCATCCCTACCATACCTACCGCCTGTGAAAACACAAAGTACACAGTTTAGTCCAAAATGGGTTTAACATTCTTTTTTTCCCCCCAGATATTGCTATATGTCCAAATATAAAGACATACACTTCTCTTTATTGTGAAAGAAATGGTTTTGCATCAGTTTTCAATTGAGTACAATTTACAATGCAGTCGGTCTCTCTCCCTCTCTCCCTCTCTCTCTCTCTCTCTCTCTTTCTCTCTCGATCTGGCTTTGATCATGGAGTGTCTGCACTGTTTACTGTGTATGTGACTAAACAATACATCGAAAATTCTGGAACAGGAAAGAGACAGAGGTAGCTTATCTGTGTCTGATTGCATAATAAATATCCTCACAGTTTAATAAAGAATGAAGAAGATGAATTAGTTATGATTAGTTGTGTGTGTGTGTTTAGTTGTGTGCTATGCGTGAATCAAATGTGTATTTGAGTATGAGCTTAGCCTTTGTCTCGTGTGATCCCAATAATACAAGTCGTGCTCTAGCGTGTGCACTGTGTTGTGTAGTACAGTGAGACGTGAGCCCTGCAGCCCGTTTGCTGTACAGTAATCCCAGATCAGGAAGCGTGATGGCTGCAGTCACGCTCATCCCTGCTGGGTGATTTAACGCTGAAACTGCCACAGTACTACTTCCTCCATCAGTGATTAGTTGTGCCTACTTCCTGCAGCTTGTGTGTGCGCCACTTTTTCTTTCATATCAGCGTCTGTGATGGAGGTGAACACATAGAGAACAATGGCATCAGAACAACACTCATTACCTGAAGTATCTGGACTGAAAGTTTCTGAGAGATGATTACATGATACACAGAGCCTCAGGCAGCAGCACAGTTTCCACTGAAAGGTATTTTAGGTGGAGTAAGCAGAGTACTCACAAGACCTGAGGGAAGGCTTCAGGGGCTACAGGTGAGTTGGAACAGCAGCACATAAGGCCTTAGTCTGCACTGCATACAGAACACATTGCATCGCTGCCACTCCTTTGAGCGAGAGACACAGCTGGTACACCGAAAGACCGACAGGTACTGTTTGTGTTCCTGTTTCTCCAAATCTAGGCCAGGCTGAATGTACAGGTTTTATAAAAGTGAAGAATTCTTTTTGCCATTGAATGTGAAGGATTATCACTGATTGAATGCAATTGTCCTACCTTATTTTTGTGAAGAAGCACAAACATAAAAATAATGTGCAGGATCACAGCGTTGGCCTGTGTGGCCATGGTGGTAACCTTGTGAACAAATCTAAGTGGTGTGTTGTTTGAAAATTTTGACCTTCCTATGTACAGTTTGGAAAACTGCAGACATTCCTGGACTGACAGTTTTTTCACTATTGCACATTTCTCAATCACAAGCAAAGTCTTGTTACCACTAAAAATAAAAAAGGGAGGAAACAGCATTTAAAGATTCGCTTTCAATTCCACTGAAAGACACCAGTGCATGATTGTCTAAAAATATCTATATTGATTTAACGTTTGTTTAACATGTAATAAACACAAAATAAACATAATAAATAAACATTATTACTATAAAAATATGAAACTAGAATTGTCAAAATATAATTCTAGCTATATTTGTTAAACTGGGTTGTTATTTATCTAAAGTAAGATTTGTAGAAAGCCTAGACAAGTTTTGAACGAACATTTCTACATCATTCTGAGAAAATATAGTTGTTTTCTTAAAGCAGAGATGTAAAGGTATGGTATAGGCAAAACAAACAAAAAAAACCCCAAAACGTCATTTTTGACTGTCAGAATTCCAGCACAGTGATATTTGACAGGTTTCCGCAGACTGCCAGGGCTACAAAAACCAGATATTTTAATAATAGATTATTCATGTGAATGAATCGACAATTGAATCATTATAAATGAGAATGGCTGAAACAAAACTGTGAGGAACAGCTTAACATTTAACTTTTTGTTACTCTTCTGAATTTCTCCTCTAGGACTAATCTAATGGTTATTCCCTGTTACTATAGCAATAAGCTATATACATTACCAAGGAATGGAATTTATAACTAAGGAATTGCAAAAATAAGGAAGACATGACAGACTGTGCTGTTACAGGAAAATAATGCACACTGGGGGGGTGTGATACAGCATGATGTGCAGCGTAGAGTGCCGCTACCCAACCAACCCCACCCCAAAACGCATTTTAGC